TGGGTTAGATTCTCAGCACCGCATATAAATAAAAATAAAGGTCCATTGACAACTAAAAACTACTTTAAAAAAAATAAAATAATCATGTGCATGTATGTCTACATATACATGTATGATATGTAGACCCTATGTCTGTGTATGGGGTTCTAAGAAATGTTTATAACCTGAAGTCAAGAGAAATGGGTCCCATTCTTGATAGCAGGGAGGATGCACCACAAACCAGTTTGATCCTGTCTTCTTTCATCTCAGCCTTGTTTTATGTTTTGTTTCTTGATTGTTAAAACAGAGCTTTGGAGAATTCACAGAGCAGACATTTAAAGATCATTATCTTGCAGGGTGAAGGAGGACAAATGGATGAATGTCCAAGTGGGAGATATAATAAAACTAAAAAATGACCAGGCTGTCCCTGTGAGTACCTATTCTGGCTGTGGCTTTTTATTTTTTGGCTTGAGCGGGATCCTGGGACCCTTACATCCCTTTTGCTGCCATTGCTCTTGGTGACCTTCGTCTGCCTCACTTTGCATCAGAGATCAACAACTCCTAGAGTAAGAAACTTATTCCTGTCCATCCTTCCCCAAAGCTACAGACAAAGTATGAGTAGCTTTGAGAGAGCTGTGTGGTAGCAGTGATGGGTCCCAGACATAGAAAGTAAACCAGGTGTCTATAAAATTCTTAGGGATGTCTGTTCCTGAGGGACTGCTTTTGTCACACTGTAATGTTAAAAGCCTGCCTTCCTGCTTTCCTTAGCTTCTCTGACTTTTCTAATCACAGGCAGATCTACTATTACTCTCCAGCAGTGAGCCATACAGTCTGACATACATAGAAACAGCAGACCTGGATGGGTAAGTGTTCCTCCCTGATATTCCATTAAGACAATTTAGCCAGCTCTGAGTGGCATCTCACTGAGAGAGAGCATGATGCAGGTAAATGACCTTATTATAAGGTGGAAGTGGTAGTATATCAGCCAGAGAGCCTAGAAATATCCAAATGAGAAAAGACAGGAAACCAGATCCTTGGGATCCTTAAAAATGAAGGCCAAGCTCTTGGCAGCAATGATTGAGCCCCCACTGGGTACAGAATCTGGGCAAATAAACTCCATGTTCTCCATTTCTAAACTGAAAACATTATCTCTGACAGTAGTCAGCCTTCCATAACCACAGGATCTGTATCAGTGGCTTTGACCACTCAGAGATGGAAAATATTTGAAAAAAATTTGCATCTTTATAAACATGTACAGACTTTTTTCCTTGTCTTCTTTTGCTAAATAATTAACAAGTATTTACATAGCATTTACATTATATTGAGAATTATAAGCAATCTAGCCAGACATAGTGGCACATTCCTAACTAATCCCAGCAATTGAGGAGACTGAGGCAGGAAGATTGCAAGTTCCAGATTAGCCTCAGCAACTTAGCAAGGCCCTAAGCAATTTAGTAAGACCTATCTCAAAATAAAAATAATAGAAAGGACTGGGGATGTAATTCAGTGGTTAAGTGCTTGTGGGTTCAATCATCAGTGCCAAAAAAGAAAAAAAAAGAACTATAAGCAATCTAGAGATTACTTTAAGTATGGAGGGTGTGCAAGGTTATATGCAAATATTCTACCATTTTATATAAGGAACTTGAGGATTTGGGTATCTTTGGGGGATCCTGGAATCAATCCCCTGAAGATATTGAGGGACAGCTGTATTTCATAATGCTAAGTAGCAGGAAAGAGGTTAATAGAACTATACATTTTCTCTTTTTTAAATATTTTAAAATTGTATTTGTTTATTTCTTTTTTTATTTCTTACATACATGACAATAGTGGAATGCATTACAGTCATAATTATCCATTTACAACACTATTTTTCGTAACTCTGTATATAAAGTATGTCCACTCCAAATTATGCCATTATACATGAGCTCTCTAATTATTATTTTTTGCATTACAATTCTAATACACCTTTATACCACAATTTATCATATCTCTGATTGTATATAAGGTATGTTGACCCAAATTCACATCTTCATACATGTATTTTGTATAATGATGAGGGTCTCCTTTCACCATCCATGCTATTCCCCTTCTTTCTTCCTTTCCCTCCCACCCCTATTCCCTATCTAGAGGTAATCTTCCTCCCTTGCTCTCCCTCTCAACCCCATTTTGAGTCACCCCCCTTATATCAGAGAAGACATTCAGCATTTGTTTTTTGGGGATTGGCTAACTTCACTTAGCATAATCTTCTCTAATGCCATCCATTTCCCTGCAAATGCCATGA